TGATTAAACTTTATTTAAAAGCTCAAAAACAATAAGGAAATCATTAATTAAATATCCCGATTAATAATGGCTTGATTAAATACAATGCAAATAAAACAAAATGCATATACATGTACTGAGCTATGAGAAGAACCATTTACATTAATCTAAAATAACTACACAATATCTTACTAGTTTCTTATATACATCTACAACAACGTGGTTATATTGCCAATAAGCAATACTCAACACGGTTGCTCGTGGACACTGACCAAACATTAATGTGACAACTGATAGAATCCATGGCGTATTTACAGAGGGGCCCTGGGGTGCATGCAGTTTGAAAGAGAGCATTGGAAGTAAAGTGTGGGTGGCTTAGTAGCTTAGTGAACACGAATTTTAAACGGAGGGGGGGACCTGGAGGGCCTTCTTGGGGATGTTCCGCTTGCCCTCCCTTCGTAAATACGCCACTGTACACAACATGCGCTATTGTTTGTTACAAGATTGATTTGTTGAACTTCAAGGACGACAGAACTAAAAATGTGTGTGAACAAGGGTGGAATGAATGAACCTTACCTGTAAGAATAAGCCAGGAAAGCCTGTTAGTCAAGAATGAAATAAAACCTTTTTACTAGAAATAAAACGTCAAAAAAATGGTTTAAAACAATGGTTGTTTAAACAAGCCACACAATGTATTGCCCAACAGCCGAAAGACTTACTCCGTGAAGGTGGCATTTATCAAAGATGTTTGTAATTATGCATAACTTTGACATTGTTTTAATTTGACATGTAACAAGTAACTTTTAGATACTTTTTTTCTCTTACAGTAAATATTTCACACTTTGTTTAGGCGTTTCGCAGTTATACAGAGGCCTATTACAGTTTGTAAGTTCAAGCATTAAGCTTCTTTTGTATTTAGCCTACAGCAATCACGCTGACACGTCCACAATTTCAGAGTTTTCTTGCAAAAAGCCACGATTTCGTGGCTTTACTCATCACCAACGTGCTCAGCAACTCGAAGCCAAGCCCAGAGGCGTGCTGAAATATCTTCATCCAATTAGGTGGGTTTCTTTTGACTGACTCCACTCTCTGAGTGGATGGACGTCCAAAAAGTTCATCGTATTCGTACCCTTCAAAATCGCTGAAGTATCCGTCAATTTCCCCTCGATTTTTAACGAGGGAATCGATATCATCGGGATGCCGCTGAAGGGGTTACGTCATCGAAAAGTATAATTATAGACGTCTTTGCGTTGTTGTAAATTTGTCAGTGCATTTCATTTACAGTATCCACTGACTGAACATAGAAGTTACGTGCCATGAGGGTGACTGCATACACGCATACATATGCTGTCCTATGCTGTTGTTATTTCAACAAAAGAATATACCTAACTCTTACTGCCGATTGCAGCTATCCTACGAACTACTTTGTGTTTGTCTGGTGTACAGAGAATAGAGCCGGTTCGGTGAACCGTAAACCGATTGTATTTTACTTATGTGAAGCTGCCCGTTCCAGTCTCCCCATGTGCTTGTGCATGCAGAGACATATGCCTATACATGCTCATGGATAGAGCGAAAAGTGCTTTATCAGTGGAGTGGGGACTTATACACTAGCCGACATAGGGGGAAAGGGACCGGATTTCATGGAAGTCAAAACTTGATGCGACACCAGAAAAGTATTGGAAATGTGATCCATTTCTTTGAAATGGCAAAGGTGGGGCAGCAAATGTTCCTTTTCCTTCATGCGATCAATACTGGTAACCACTATAAGGAGTGGAAATATGGATAATGGAATGACGTCAGTAAAAAATCCCGCTTTTCCCCTTGCAATAACCATTTAAGCGCCCCAGGCTGCTGAAAGCTTTGTTATTAAAAAACAGTTCACTGTGAAACCTCGACACCTCGGACCTTCAACCTTCGTTCATTCAGAGCTCCAAAGAGAATATTGCCAATTCAAACGCACATAAACAACAGCACAGGAACATATATAATGCGTGTACACAACCTCATGACACGTACGTGTAACTTTTACATTCAGTCAGTGGTTATGTCACCACGTAGAACTTTATACCCCGTATTTTTTGGAAGAATCATCGATATTCATTATCTTTTTCCTTTTGTTCATCCCTCATAAATATTCTTTTTCCCAGTCAACTGCACACAATTGATACTTCGAATGCGGGCCGTGTCGGCGTTACTCGGACGCTGACTGGATTGGAGATAACATCTTTTTAAAACGTCTCCTTTCCTCGCATTCTTTCTCCAGGTAGATCACTCTATTTATTCCTTTTTTTTATCAACAAACGTCAGAAATTATCAATATCATAATGTAGTTTTTTGTCTGTAAGACTAACAGGCCTTAATTTTGTCAGTTCTTCTATTTTCCTTAATTTATCTTCGTTTGCTGTTCTAATCATTCGGATTTTCAACATGGCGCCTGTCAAATGGAATCATAGCGGGAAACTGATTCAGACATATTTCATAAATAATTAGTTTATTTGAACTTCTTTTGTGTATAGCTTAATCGGAATTCCATTGAACCATTCGATTCATTTGATATTTGCATTTTTAGGTCACTCAGACGCTGACCGGATTGGAGATGACATCTTTTTAAAACGTCTCCTTTCCACGCATTGATTCTCCAGAATAAATCAACAAAACCAGAGATGTCGAGTCCTCTGCTCCCTTAAACGACCCTACATAATACCAAGGGTCACAGTTAGTGCAAATGTACTGACAAACTTTCAACGACGCAAAGACATCTATAATTACACTTTTTAATGGCGTAACTACTTCATACTTCCGAGGCAGTATGTAAAAAGAGTATTTCACACTTAAGCCAAAACATAAAGCCATAACAAATGTATTGGTCTTTGACAAGAGAGACCCTAGCGTAGGTCACTACATAAAGAAAAGAAACGTTTACGATTTGTGAAAATGAGATGTTCAGTGGCGATACCCTCTGGATTTACCAAAGATGATATAATTTTTAAAATCCTCATTTCCTGTACATCCAATAATTATTCCAAGTCTGAGCCTGGAAAACTTTATCAGGCTCGTTTTCACCAAGTTCCTCTATACATGCCCATAGAAGGTTCTGAAAAATTGGACAGACTAGCGCCGCATACTGACTCTCAAGAAAAGGTTGGTGTCGCGTGTTTCGCTTGATTTTCAAGATAACGGTCACCAAATTTATTGATTTTTTTTATTTTCATAATATCCGAAAATATCCGTGAAATATAACAGTCACACTCTGCCCTCAGGTCTGAATTTAGCTGCCCGCATCTATAATAACAGGTTTGCAAGAACAGAGGTTTTGTGAACAAAGTGCCCCCTGCTGGATGCTACAGGTCCCAAATTCGCGATGAGACAAATATCTCAATGGTTTGTCACACTAATGACACATCTTAAAGTAACTCGCCGCAAAATATTAATGAGCTTTCTTGTAAAAATAAAGCGATTCTTGTGGAATGCACAAGTGAGGTCGTTAAATGGTGATCACGTGATGTTCCCAGGTCACATGAAGCTTTACAAGAGCCATTTCTCAGGCTGGGAAATCCCTTAAGCACGCAACACCCACTTCACAGTCAAAGAACAGCATTCCAGAGAACCCAAACTTTAGAACAGACACCTTTTATTGTAGGCTCATCGATTAATAGGACTAACAGCTGTTATCCTGAAGCTGAAGGCAAAATATTAGCCAGGCTTCCCAAGTTCAACGCCACCTAAAAGAGATAGCACGGACCTGCTGTAAACCCTACAAAATGGCCGATACAGACGATGTGATAGTGCTGAATGTGGGTGGCACTCTCTACACCACGATCAGGTCGACACTGACTCGCTACCCAGACTCCATGCTCGCCTCAGTGTTCAGTGAGGGTTTCACTCCCCTCCGCGATGCCAACGGTGCACTGGTCATCGATGGGGACGGACCCATGTTCCGTCATGTCCTGAACTTCCTCAGGCGTTCCAAGTTGAATCTCCCGGAAGACTTCAAGGATTGGGACCTGCTGGCCTCCGAGGCAGACTTCTACAAAATCCCAGTCCTGAAAGATGCGGTGTTGAAGGCACAAGCGTCGAAAGTTGGCCCGAAAATGGAATTTATAGAATTCATTGAGGGTGCTAATGGGCCGAACAGCTTCAAGTATCGTGGCAGCTTGGAAATTTTCAAGAAATTCCCACAGTATCTGCTCAAGAATAATTTCGACGTCATTCGTGAAGGTGATAGAATTATTCAGCGGCATGTCGATGAGATCGATTACTTCCTTGAAAATCGAGGGGAGGTCAACGGATATTTCGGCCGTTTCGAAGGGTTGGAATACAGTGAACCTGTGAAACTTTCAAACCTCAGCCACATACCGCTTCCGAAGTTATCCAAAAGAGACCCACCCAATTGGATGAAGATATTTCAGCACGCCACTGGGCTTGGCTTCGAGTTGCTGAGCACGTCGGTGAGTAATGCCACGAAATCATGGCTTTTTGCAAGAAAACTCTGAAATTGTGGACATGTTAGTAGAATGGCTGTAAATACAAAAAGAAACTTCATGCTGGAACTTACATGTAATTAGGCCTCTGTGTAATTGCGAAACGCATTTAGAAAAAGTGTGTAATTTCTAGTGTAAGAAGAAAAAGTAATTAAAAGTTACTTTTACATGTCAAAATTAACAAAGTCAAAGTTATTCATAATTACAAACCTCTTTGATAAATGTCGCCTTCATGGAATAAGTCTTTCCGCTGGTGGGCAACACATTGATTTAGCTGGTTTATCCACTGTTGTTTAACCAAATCGTTTTTCCAACTTTTATTGCCAATAAAAAAGTTTTATTACATTCTCAACCATGGACTTTCCTGGCTTACTCTTTTAGGTAAATTTTAGGCATAACTTATTCATTCCACCCTTGTTCACACACATTTTTAGTTCTGTCGTCCTTGAAGTTCAACAAATCAATTTTGTAACAAACAATAACGCATGCTGTGTACAGTGGCGTATTTACGAAGGGAGGGCAAGCGGAACATCCCCAAGAAGGCCCTCCAGGTTCCCCCCCCCTCTGTTTAAAATTCGTGTTCACTAAGCTACTAAGCCACCCACACTTTACTTCCAATGCTCTCTTTCAAACTGCATGCACCCCAGGGCCCCTCTGTAAATGGATTCTTTCAGTTGTCACAATGTTTGGTCAGTGTCCACGAGCAACCGCGTTGAGTATTGCTTATTGGCAATATAACCACGTTGTTGTAGATGTATATAAGAAACTAGTAAGATGGTGTGTAGTTATTTTAGAGTAATGTAGATGGTTCTTCTCATAGCTCAGTACATGTATTTGCATTTTGCTTTATTTGCATTGTATTTATTCAAGCCATTATTAATCGGGAAATTTAATTAATGATTTCCTTATTGCTTTTGAGCTTTTAAATGAAGAAAATGTGAACGTTTTCAAACCTATTCAATTGGCTTATGATTCCTTGTAGTTTTTGAGAAACCGTGTGTAAACTTTATAGTGGCCATTATAAATGAACTTCTACATATGTAACCCAATCTGTGAAAATTAGTTGTAAGTTGCCAGAGCCACTTTTTGAGTTTTCATTTGTATTGGAAAGAGAAAATTTTGTTTTTGTTTTGATGTATCTCGGTTTTGCATCCTGACGAAAGTGGATACTCCATGGTGAAAAATGCTGCGGGTTCCTATTGATTTACACTGTACAAAATTATTATAAAGGACTTTTTACTCCAGAGTGGCTCGGGCGACTTAAGACTCATAATTTTTTGCAGTGTGGGTCAGATATAGCGGTTGCTGGCTTTAAGACAGAATTCACTTTGCTATCATAGAATCTGTTTGAAATTACTGAGCAATTGTTTGTTGTAAGCATATACATTTACACATACTTATTTGAGCCCGTACTCCACTTTGTTTCACTTATTATTCTAAGACACGTGGCTTTGCGAAGATGGCATTTATTTGACAAAAGTCAGTCCTACAAAGGCCTTTTAATAGTTACAACAGGATCCACTGCTCTGGGCCTGTACTTTGACTATTTTCTCTGTGAGCGGGATGTTGTCGACTGCGTTATATGAACCAACAAAATACGAACTTCAACTTAGGTTTAACCAAGAAACAAAGCATAGGGGAGGGGGCGTTTGTTTGGGGGGTTTTTGGTGGTGCACTTTTGCTTTGCTTTTTGGTTTATGTTGACCAAGCAAACTGGGCTACATGCATATAGACCTACATCATGCACATATTTTCACAGTAATTTCAACCAAATACAGATCGCAAAGGCGCTCCATGTGGGCTGCAGTTTGGCAAACAACATACGGGTTTCACCCCCTTGTACTTTTGAAAACCTGGAGGCAAGTATCATGCGCACATACTTGTAATAGACAAGAGAATTTGCATGTTGTAAGCCCATATAATGTGCCCCATCATCCCCAAACTAGGTCCAAATTTATAAGCTATAGTCTGGACGAATGGTGCAGTTTTAATACATNGGACCAGGCAAAATCCACCACTTGCAACAACCAAAACTTTGAAAGCTCTCTGCCGTTTTAATCCTTGGATGACTTTCAAGTATGAATCTGAACAGCGCGGAGAGGAATCGTCAGGAATCAAAATGGCCTTTTTCAGCCTGGTTACGGCTACAAAGTAATTCGAATTACAATGTAAAGGTGTCTTATGTTTGTTTCAAAAGGTTCGTCACATTCACTTCAATTCCTGAATAACCATTTGGATACCATCATTCACAGTCACGGGATGTCTTGATATTGTTTATTTTACTTTCCAATCTTTTTGACTTTTCCGATTTTAATTGGTAAACTTTAAATGTATGGACGTAGAAGTAGCTACAGAGCTTATCTGTGAGAAACGTGTGTTGTAAATCATTAATCAAACCGAAATATATAGGCTTTGGTTGCTTCACTTAGCAACGCTAGATTAGAAGTGGGAACACTGCGGCCTTGTTAAATATTACTTCAATGAAATTGCATCTATTTTCCCCCTCAGTCGGCCTAAGCAATTTAGGCCTAATACATTTACTAGAAAAACCATCCGCAGATCAGTTGGACATTCCTCGGAATCATATTCAGAGTATAGACCAAGATGCTGAAACCACCTTAACGGGGCATAAAACAATCAGTGCTGAGTATACTTAGAAGGGTGGTTTCAGAGGAGTTTCTCCAAACAAATTCTGTTCGGATAGAAACGGCCATAGTTACTGTAATTTACTCGATTCAAATGGGACAAATTTAATCCATAAAGATACATAACAATGCTTTTGTATGCCTTTGCTAATTCGTGTTCAAATGTTTCTTAGAAAAAAATGGTTGAGGTACACATATTTGAGCCTATTTAGCGCTGTATTAGATTATCACAGTAGCCACGTAGCCTCTCGTTGCAAATTCATTGGGAAATAAAGTTTTTGATGAAAATTCGCCGAGTGTGAAATTGCGTCTGGAAAAGTACTGAGAGTGTAAGGATTGCTGGGATTGGAGTTTTCTCCAAACATTCCGGAACTACTTGTCAATATTTGGGCGTATGGATATAAATGGAAAACGTCAAGATTGAAATACTCTGGCCCTTTGTCACACTGATAGTACGCGGCTTTATAACCGTAAGCGTAATGGTTGCAAAAACCAGGGATTTCCCCCGACGTCATCGCGATTGGGGTCGAGGGTGATTCGATATCGTTTGCAATGAATAGTGTACCTAACTGTATGCGAACTACACGTACCGCCATGTCCATGTAGGAATGAACAATGACAAAAAAAGGGGGGGGGTTATTGTGGCAAAAAGGAACCTTGTCAAATAGGGTTCTTTGTTATTAGTTGCTAATACATTTTGGCACCATTTTGTCAGGTTTTTAATGATTAGTTGGCATTCGTGACTTCTCTTGGAAGTAAAATGTCCAAGTTAAACATTTACGCTTCCAATGACATGGTTTTAACAGTATGTTGGTATCCTCGCACACCTCGTACTGCCGTACATCTGCAACCACATATCTCTGACGATCGAGTTAGCAGGGAAAGTGGTCACCCTAAATTCACTTATCGTCCAATGAGCCTGGGGTATTGAGGATCACTGCCGCCATTTTTAAGGTTTAATAAAACATTTGCTTGTGAAGTCGTCCGGTCTATTAGGCCTACTCGTCATGGCCGGAATTGTCAATCTCAACGTTGGCGGCTGCCTGTACACGACGAATCTATGGACTCTGATCCGCTACCCGGACTCCATGCTGGGCGCCGTGTTCGGCGGCAAACTCGATCCGTCCGAGCGTGACGCAAACGGGGCCTAAGTCATCGACGGGGACGGGCCAGTCTTTCGACACGTCCTGAACTTCCTACGGCGAAGCAGGCTGATTCTTCCAGAGGACTTAAGCGACTGGGACCTGCTGGAATCTGAAGCAGACTTCTACCAAATTCAAGATCTGGCAGCCGCGGTGTCGTCGCTCCAGAAAGAGAGGGCACGGTCAAAAATGGAATTTATTGAATTCTCAGAAGAAATATATGCTAGAGTGCTAAAATATCGTGGCAGCTGGGAAACCTTGGAGCAGTTTCCCTATAGCTTGGGCACCGTTATGTTTGAAGATTATGTTGACACTTCTGAAAGGTCTTGGTACCAAAAGTCTCTCGGGACACGGTCACGTGAACAAATATGCTCCGACCTAAAAGAAAATGGGGAACTCGTGGGAATGTGGGGCACTATCTGTAGGGGACGTGGCGATAATCAAGTTTACGTCACTAGAAGCCCACCTGACTGCATGAACATCTTCCAACATGCATCCCAGCTCGGCTTTGAGTGTGTTACCTCGTCATGTAGCAATGGAGAGAAAACATGGCTATTCGCGAGAAAAATAGTTCCCTCGGGCTAAACGCCTGTGAGTGAGAATTGATCCTTTTCACTAAAATACTAATGGAACTGAAATGGTAATACCAAAGCGCTCTGTTATGACATATATTTTCCTATGCAGTACTTTTCTTATCGGTACTTTAATGGTGGCAAAGGCCCAGTAAAACACTCTTGACTGAAGGTCAGTGTTACCCATTGCTGCTAAAAATATACGGAAATTTGGCGGTAATTATTTGAAAAGTGACAGAACACAGTCATAGTAAATTATCGTTTTCATTGATTACACACCTCGTGAACAAATAGAAGTCGCTAATTGCAAATCAGAGGCAGTTAGTGTGATTAATGTTACATGCGTATTGTCCGAGTATATACTCTGAAGGAAACACTTCCCTTGCGGACTGTAAAATGTTCATTAAGGTTGTTCTTCACGTTGGCGATCGGTATTTTTCCGCACAGCAACGTATCTCCGCCACACACAATAAAAAAGCCTGAAATATAATACGTCCGATGTACCTGAGCTGAGATTTTAACACGGGTCGTCAGAAATCTGTAGGTCAGGGAACAAGACTACGAAATTTGAAATAATCTCATTTTGAGTTTTTTTCTTGTAAATTTTATTTTTTAAGACCAGGGATGACATTTACTCAAAAAAACTAAATTCAAAAAGCACAAGAGGAAAGAGCTAGAGTAAAAAAAAGAA